CTGTTCAGTAGTAAAGGTGATTCCTCTATGGTACATTACCTACTCTCACATAGCTGAAAAGCAACTTAGCTGTTCAGTAGTAAAGGTGATTCCTCTATGGTACATTACCTACTCTCACATGACTGAAAAACAACTTAGCTGTTCAGTAGTAAAGGTGATTCCTCTATGGTACATTACCTACTCTCACATGAATAGTACTGCCCTCTATATGCAAAATGTTTTTAACATACCACAAAGCTTGAACTCCCACATACCCCATGTTCAACTGTGTCTTGCATGTCTATCATCATGTGACAACCCTCCACCTAGAGGAGTGTGACACACACTCCTGATGCATGTGACTCTCTCTATTTAATTCTACCAAACTATCACTTCCTGTTAGGCAGTGATTGAGTGCAGACATTTTTCAATTGTACACTCTTCATGTGTTCATTTAATTTTTTTATTTATTTTGTAATGTAGTGATTTACTTGATTTATTCATTTACTACACTTAGTTTTCAGTAGTAGTGTGCCACTATAACTTTGTTTATTGATTTTTCAACTTCTTCACAGTTTACGATGAATTCAGAGGTTTGTGTCCCTGAAAATTCTATCCATTTCTTCTACACACAGTTTCTCACTTTCATCTAACTCTTATAGCTCTCCTATGGTACTTGTACAACATACACCTCCTTTCTGAGGCATTCCGCCAATCCCCTGAGGGGGTTGGGGGGATATCTTTTCCCTCCTTATCTCCATATTGGCACGATTTTCCTCTTCAGCCCTATCCCTTCTCAAACATAATTTTATTACTGTTGGGATCTTCTTGGGAAGGATGCTGTTTCATCACAGGTTCATCTACCTTCATGACTTACAGATGGCTCCTTTTCTCTATTGGTTTCTGTTTGGAGATGCTCCAAATCCAGCTCCTCCCACTAGGGATTCAAAATTTTACTGTGTGTGTCTCGACATCAAGTTCATCATAGCCAGTTCCAGTGATTGTCAGGTCTTTTCCTGTCCAGTGGGGGCATATTTGGCCAATATTCTTCCCCTGTGGTGGGTATTCACAACTGGTTCTTGGGTGATCCCAGTTTTCTCAGAAAGACTTTTCATCCATTTCCTTTCCCCACCATCTTTGTCTCCTGTATCAATTTTCTTCCCATTAACTCGGGATCCTGCTACCAGTCTGCATCTGTCTGAGGCTGCGCAGACCCTTCTATCACAGAGATTGATTGAGCCTGTCAGCCAACCTTCTTCAGGGTTTTACTCCAGGCTTTTTTTTTTGGGAACAACAAAGGCCAATTTCTGGTAAGTGTTAAAAGAGAGGTTGAACTAACCAGGTGTCATCAAGCTGAAGTCAAAGTGACTGAAGGAGTTGCATACTATAGTGTCTTGTACCTCTACTTCAGCTGTTTAACTTCTGAGTAGTCGTTATTGTATTTCCAGTCTCAAAGATAGAGTTTGGTAGTACTGTTTACTCCATAGCTTGTGAGTGGTATTTCCAATAACTTTGAGGTTTTATCTTTGTATATAAGATACTTCTTCAACTAGTGTGTCATATCAGGTATGTTGTTATGCAATTAAGTGTTTTATATGCTTGACAGACTGTGTTTTCCCTAATGATTTGATCCTAGAATTTCAACAAGAACCAGCATGTGGTTCTAGGATTTTCACGTTGTCCTTGTGTTAGCTTATTTATAGAAAAAATTATTTTTTCTTCTTTACAAGTAACAGGCTTCTCCTTGCTTCCTCTGGTTCTACCCCATTTCAGTGGAACTGAAGATTGTAATAAAGTTATGGTTTTGTATTTTTACCAAAGTGTGACCATGTTGTTTATTTAAGTGCAAGTAGATGTAATGAAGATGCAATTGTACATAACAGAAGGTGATTGGCTTAGAGATTTTGTGAAAAGAGGGCATGAGACATATGATTACACATGTTACCTTCTCTCACAAAATGTAATTTGCATAAGATTATTGACTGCAAATGGCATGCATTAAATGAAGGAAGAGACATATAAAATACCTATTTCTTGGCATCAACAAGAAGATAAGTATAATTCTCAACTGACGAGTTAACTTTTAAATATTTTTTGCCAGGAAATTTAAAAAATCTAAGAAATTCTGTGATATTAATTATGTATGCTGTGTTAGCATATGTAGGTTTAAGCCTTGTATTAAAAGTCAGTGATAGCACTAACCATCTCTCAATAAGTGTCTGTCAAAAACTTTTCAAATTCTTATTCATTAAAGGATACAGCTTTGTCCTCTACTCTTCATCTAGCTACAACACATTTTATAATTCTGAATATTCATTGAATGTCTTAAAGCAACTTTTACTTGTGTCAGGTAAGATACACCAGTGTATTATCCAAGTTAATAAGTGAACATGGGTGGTATTTTTCCTTTTGTACAGCCTAAATAATTACCTAATATTGTCTAAGGAAACTATATATTTGTTAATTTGAGCAGATTGAAAGAGAAAGACTAAGAACGGAAGAGTTTGCATCACGATCAGCACAGGAACAAAAAGCTCTGAATCGATCACTAAATTATTTAGAAAAAGAAAACCTTGACCTGCAGAAGAAAGTCCAGACCCTTCAGGTACAAATTCTTGCACCAGATGTGTTACGTCTTGTAGTACAAAGTAATACTATATTATGGCTAGTTAAATATAAAATTTAATTGTGTAGATTAGTCCATAAAATTTTGTATAGGTATAGCTATGTCAACTGTAGAATTTTATACACTATTTTGTAAATTGCTTTTAATGAACTGTAGAAGATTGTTCACAATTTAATAAAACTTCTTTTAGTTAGGTGTAATCTCTGCACATGTTGAGCACTATTCAATCTTTTGATAAAAATTCTATTGACCAGAATTCCCACGGTCCTAGAAGTCCTTCAAAAGTTTTTCAGTTTTTCAATGTCATATCCATGCCTGGAAATATTCTGAAAAGTTTTGAAATTTAGATAAGTTGACCCAACAATTTTAATGAAGTTTAAAGAAAGATAAACAGTTTGAAAACATCAGTTATAAATCGAATGGACTGTTGTGCAGTGTATGGACATGCACATTATCATCTGAAATGTTGCACAAGAACATGATCACCATTTTTTAACCAATCTGTTGATATCATGGTATAAGTAGCTGTTGTTGTTTTGTAAATACTATGTTAAACATTCCAAGTTTGGCTATAAAATAATAAAAATACTAATAATTGTAATTAAGAGGTAATAATTTTGCAAAATATATTATGCCTATGACTACTAAGTCCCTACATTGTGGGGACCTAATGTCACTATTGTCATATTTCATTTCAAAAAATAAAATTAATGGTTGAAATGTTTGAAATTTTACAACAATCTTCCTAAAAGTATGTAGTTCTAGAAAAAATAAAATATTAAATTTTGATTTTTTTCTACAATTTCAAATAAAAAATTCATTATTTAATGTAGTTATTTGCACCCAGACTCTGAATAATTCACCTGCATTATCTTACAACTTTCACATTTCATTTTCATAATATCTAGAAACTCCTAAATGAATATAAAATTTTTTTTAAGGTCAATGTTTATAATTTATTTTCCATTTTCTCTACTATATCACTAACTCTAGTTATTCTTATCAACGTACAGTGCAATGAAACGTTTAAACTTAAGAAATAGAAATATGTATTTTCCTTCGTAGAATAGTCTTAAAATATTTTCTTTGGACCATATGCATAATTTAATATCATTACCTTTTCACTAATAGTTTAATTTTAATGTTTTGTTTTCCTTTCCTATTATTTACCATTTATTATTTATGTCAACACACATCAATGGGTACCCACATGAGTTAGAATGGTATGAATGGCTAACTCTTTTTCAACGTGCCTGGTAATTTAAGCCTTGTAGAGTAAGACAGTGTTTTGTATGTTTTGTAAAAAGTATTAAACCTTTCAGATATGAATTTTAAAATACAAATAAAATATAATTAACAAAAAAACCTAAATGCAATTTAACTGTCTATCAAACTAATATCTATAAGGGAAGACAAAATTGTCAAGTGCTAAGTAAACCGATCTTGACAATGGACAAGCAGCAGTTAGCTTATCGTTTCAAAAGTAAGTTTTGGCCCATGTTTCCTTCTAGCTTGGAGAAATTAAATGAGAAGCCTGCTCTTTCTCTTGGTTATAAGAATGCCATTTAAATCTAGAAAAGACTGTTGCTTAGCAACAGATTATTTTGGAATGTAAGTGTGGCACCTATCAGAAAAAAGCAAATTCTTGGAATGACTTAGTCTTTGTAAAATGAAACTGATGTTTAGACTTCGAGCTAGTACTTGTAGAAGCTCATCTAGACTGTCATAGAGGTACTGAGACAAACCTGAACAGAAACATAAGCAAACAAATCTAAGATGTTTCAACTTCACATACATTATGTGACAATAAACTGAAGTTTTACTGTTTGTTTCAGAGGTTTCTTTTGAAATAAAAGAATAATAACTTTGATGATATAAAACTTTGAATTATAACATACTTGATAATGACATGTTCATTAAAGTACATTGATAATAAATTGCTTCAATTAAATTTTGAATGTAACTCAATAACATTTTGTGACATACACAGAAAGGAATTTAAAGAGTGCACCAGTAGTCATAGGGTTATATTCTATAGGGCTTCTAGGCACATATATGTAGACTAGATCATAAATCATTCTTATGAATCAAACACTAATACAATTAATATTAGAAGCTAACATTTCCAATGTTAGTACCTAAGCCTTATATGTTAACTAGATCTAATCTTTAGATCTGGATCTACATTATAATATCGTAAAAACTGTTAAATCGATATGACTATAGGTGCCTAATGAAGTCTGCACAGATAGATATAGGCCTAACATTTAGTGCTTAAGGCCTAATTGGCTAATGCTAGACCTAGGCCTAATTGTTTACGCATGTGGTATAATAAGTAGATTGAAATATACATGTAACAGTTAGATCTAATGTTAACTCTGCAAAGATTAAACAGAAAATGTATTCAACATTAGATATAGAAGTCTATTAGTGCAACTTATTTTCAATGAAATCAGCCAATTTTCCTTTAGTCTATATATATATATATATTTCTAAGTAACAAACATGAAGAAATTTTACTTGGACTTGAAGTCTTTGTTCAGATATAAACCTAATATAAATTGTACCTTTTTCATTAAATCTTTATATATCACTGCTTGCATGTGATTGTCACCATTTGTTAGGCCTAGGTCTAATTGGCGCTGATGTTACATATTATACTCGTATATGCTTATGCCAGTTATTGAAAGAAAGTGATCAATCTTCATCCAGTGTTTGTTGAAGTTATATGAGATGTTATAAATCACACCAAAAAAATGTTTATGTAATCTTTTATTAGGTCTACAGCATAACTAACAAAAATCCATAAGTTTATGATGTATCAAAAATATACCAGGATCTTCATTTTTGGAAAAATCAGGTTTTTGTGCACTAGTATATGTGCAGTACACATGTCATGTTATATAGACAGTAAGTTTATAAATCTATCTGCCTGTGTTTGCATTGCTGCATTAAGACGTGATTAGTGAAAATTTTCCAAAAATACATAAGACTTAATAATGGACTGGTCATCCAGTGCTGCCAAACCAAACATAGGTTATCACACACAATATTATTCTAAAGGCAATTTTACTCATGCTATGCTTAAATCTATTTGCTTGTAGCAAGAAATTCTTTGTGAAATTCTAGGAATCCTATTAAAACAAACATCAGATATTGAAACAATAATAGCAAAGTTATAATTATGCATACTAAATCTGTTTGACAAGCTGTTCTCTGTCATCACAGAACTTGTTCTAAGAATTAATTGCAGATATACATGGATGATCTCAATGTTGATTGGAAATTTACCTGAAACATTATTAACTAAAGCTAATAAACTCAATCCAAAAAAACACCTGTTTCAAGTCAGATCTTGTAGTTTACACACAATTCACAATGCTTTTAGAGATGGTTGTAAAATAACTGACTGAAAATTTGAGGAAACTGACAAATTTCTACTATATTTTCAAAGATTCTTCACCAAAAGCTGATGACTTCAAAAATGAGGCTGGATAATTTGTCCTTCCACCAAAGTTGTGTAAGCACTGATGTCTGGAGAACATCAGCATTGTTGAAAAGTACTTGTCCCTGCTACCTCATCTTAAAACATATGGGTGTGCAAAAGGACCCACTAAAATTAAAGTCATGCAACAGTATTCATGAAACTGTTAACTTCCATCTCTTCATCCCGTAACCACAGTTTTCCTCTTATTTGCTAGAGAGATCCAACCTTCTCTTAAAAAATTCCATGATATTAAACCAATGTTGCCTTTTTTAGCTTCAGATCTCTTTGGTCTTGTCAAGGGTTTGTTGGAAAGAGTTGTCACTTCGGAATGACTGGAAGACATAACTGGACCACAACATGTTTCAAGCCTGGATTTGACAGACAAGAAGATTTTATAGGAACTTTCCAAAATTGATACTGATTTTGTTACAAACAAAGTCCTTAATGATTTAAAGATGACTTCAAAAATTAGTGATAAAGGCTTGCTAGGCTTTAGACTTGAATGCAGGCAGTTCTTCAAAGCTGTTGTTGTGAAAATTATTTAGAAGTATACTTGAACTTATAACTTGGTAAGGAATGTGAGCTACTTGAATCTAGAAATGATGTTGCCAATTGCATCATCCTGTGCTGTTATGTGTTCATCTTGTCTAAACAGTCTGGTAAATGCAGGCAAAGTTGAAGGAAGGGACTGTGACACTATTCTCAGGCAACACATGCTAATCCCCACTCAGGAGGACCGAGATTGTTTTTGGAGGTTTATTCCTCTATATTTGCAAGATTCTATGATAACAGGGCTACCTCTGGATGAATGAGAGTAATACCCTTCCTAAATGGTCTTAAGGAAGGAGAGATTTAAATTTTTTGTTTTGTATTGTTATGGTTTCTTTTCCTGTGTGTTTCTCTTTATCTGAATATATCATTCTTTCCATATTGGTCACAACATAAGTGACTATTTTTCAACATGTGTATGTCACATTAAAATCAAGAAAATACATGTCCTTGGACCAGTACAAAGTGTTAAAATAAGTTAGTAACCAATGGTGGAAACTAGAATCTGTGAATAATCTCCAGGCTTTTTATTTATCTGTTTTTCTAGATTGGCAGAAGAGTGGTATGTTATTTTTCTTTGAGTACATGTATGAAACTTCTGTCAAATACTGTGTACAGCATAGCTGTTTTCAAGTTTGGACATAGTTTGGGTTTTATTTTAGCTCATGATCTGTTTTATTGTGTGGAAACATTCTCATGAAACTGGATGGTCTCTCTCATTCTTAACCATCTTCTGGTTTGAACAAGTTTCAGTTACAAATAGAACTGGAGTTAATTAATCAGTATTGAAATAATAATAATAATAGTGAAAAATAACTTATTTTAATGATAACTATAACATTGTAAAATAAGTGAGTTACTTGCACTGATATGGTCTTGGGTAAGACTGAACTAGCAGATCAGGTTCTAATATCATGGGAGGTTCTTCAGCAGTCAAGGCAAATCCAAGGAGAAAGAAAATGTCAGTTCAAGGAAAAGTTAGGAAAATTGAAATATGACCAGAGAAATGTAATATTTTACCCAGTGATCAGGAATATTTTACAGAATGATTGGTTTATACATTTATATACCAGCTGTGGTCGTTTTCAGATACCAGACATGTTATATACAATATTTATGATATGTATAATTTGTACATTTATAAATATATATATATTTAAATCATCACTGTGGTATATCGGAGAGTGTAGGATAGGTAAGACTAATAACTTATATTGGAAGAAAGGATGGCTATAAGAAGTGATGGTAGGATGTTAAAAGATATTTAATGTTGCATTTTGTTGAGGAAACAATAATTTAAGGTAATGGAGTAGTCAGGGGATTTTATCATAGAACTGGGAGCCCTGTTCTAAGAAACTGTATGGATAAGTCAGACTCAAACAAAAGGAAGAAAGACTGAATGCAGTTGTTTCATTTTGGAACAAAGCATTTTATTTAAAAAACGTAAAAGGATGCTCTTGATTTTACTTTGTAAACTCTCTCACTCACATTTCCAGCATAATGAATGTTGTTTACATTAACAAATAAATGACTTGAGGTATTGTGACATTTCAAACTATTGAGACAACAATCTGGACTGTCCCAAGGAAAGACTATTTGATTTACTTAGAGAAATGTTATTAAGAGCTATTATGTATTGGCTGTTATGGAACTTTAAGTAGATTTGTGTGTGTCTGATTTTTATCTCTAACTGAAAAAAGCTGGTAATAAACTAAGAAAGTATGTAATAAATCAGTAGAAATGTTTTCATAAACTATTCAACTTCTTGGATCTCATTAATAACACAGGCCTGCAAATTTAAACTTCATAAAAGTTGTATTGGTTTTAATAATGGATTGTTCATAATTCCACTACGCAGATTTCAAAAATAATATTTCAGCATGAATGAGGACGCATATTTGTTTGACATCAATGTTCTTCCCTTTTCTTCAGTTTGTTTGGATTTTTGTTAACAAACATAATAATAAAAAATTTTCATTGTGGTAAATGAAATAATAATATGATCTAAATAAGTTTTTTTTCTTCCCGTCTTGTAAAAATTCCTTATATGAGAGAAAAAAATGTTTCTTTTATGTATTGCATCATGACTCTTTGTGAAAAATCTGTACGTGATGGAGAAAAATGGATATCATTTTCAGATTCAACACACAGGAATTATTGTAGAACATTTTAAAATTTGAAGTCAATAAAACTATCACAGGCCTGTGTAATTATTTGATCTGATGATAGGACTGAATTACAAGGTTAGCGAATTTGTTATTGCCCTTTTTTTTCAGTTAAAAGTAATGTAAATTAATTCTATTTTTCATATACTTAGATAAGTCATTTTAATTTTTAATATGCATAGTTCAGCCATGAAAGAAATTTTTAAGATAGAGCAGTCTCAAAAATTATTATACTTGTAATTTACTGTTCATTATAGATTACTACAGTAAATTAAAGTCAATATTAGAAAGAACAGAATGTAATAAATATATTTTTAAGCTCTTTGAAAAAAATCCATTTAGACCCATTTAGCTCAACTTGAACAAAGACACTCTCAACGACTGATAGAGCTTGGTGTTCAACAGAAACAAGAAGAAAGCTTGGAAATGGAAAACTTTAAGATTGCCAAAAAAAAAGCTGAAACCTTATTGGAAAGCCGAGAAAGGAGTCATAAACAGAAAGTGTTAAGCCTTGAGCATGAGGTAAGTGTCAGAATGAAAAAAAGACTCATTAAGGAAGAAGTAAGCATCACCAAGAAATATGTCTCTGGCAAGAATGTCTAATAAGAAAAAAACAGTTACTAATGAAAAACTTCTACTTACCTTAAACTATGGCATTTTCAACCAATTACAAAATTAGTCTTAGGACAACTAATAGATTAGACAATTTAAGATCAAATATTGTATTTCTAAGAGTTGCCATAGATGATACCAATTACCAACAATGTAATGTGAGCATACGGAGGGTTGTGGACGCTATAGTAATACGATTTTGGAATATGCAAATCAGCAAGTCACTTGACAACCACAGCTGATATAAATTCATGGTTTAACGGTATATATATCACAAACTACATTTTGACATTGTTTGGCATTTTATAGGTAATATGATGCCACCAAAAACTGATAATTTTTGAGAAGGGTATGCCACAGACTTCTCCAACACAAAATATTCATACACTCAGATCATAAAGATGTATTAAGATCAGGGATTTATAATTTCCAATATGGGGATATACCTTGTACTTAATAGTTTCCAATAGAAAGGAATATGGATCAACTTGGGGAACCAAGACTATCCAAAAATAGACCAGTAACAACTCATACTCAAGTCATGGTAAACAAAATGCAGCATCTTGAAACGGGTGAAAATTGATAAACATTAAAGTTCAGTGCAGAAACCACTCACATCTCATCACCCCCCACCCAGCAACAGTACTCAAAATAATAAAGAAGGATCTCAGTCTGGAAAAATAACGTATGTCATTTGTACCCAGGTTGCTTCTATGACATATTCACTCACTTGTCTCATACTTTAAAAAGTAAAACCCATGCAACATTTTAAAATTGAATGGTTAGGCTTAAATTTCTTTGACAGTCAACAGGAAGAAAACAAGGATGCAGGTATGTACTATTTTTCTTGTGCATTCTTTACTTATTATTATAAAAATAACTAAAATGTAAGAATTAGAAACTTATTACGTTAGATTGGGTAAGATAATGAAAAACAATAATTATTTAAGAAGTATGTTCACGAGCAACTCATGCATTATATAATTCAACACAGTACTGTGAGCTACATGTTTTTGCTTACGGTTTGATTAACTTATCCACAAGTTTTTACTTTATTAATTTTTCTCCATCAGTTCCATTTTTATGTATCATTTTCATTCTCTTTTGTGGAGTGTTACAAATTGTTTATTTATCTTCTCTCCTTTTTCAATTTTGAAAGTTATGCACTCACAGTTTCAGGTGGTCACAACTCCAAGTGCTGTTACTGCTACAGTGGATTTACCAACCACATCCACCGGGTCAGAACCATGATTCTTGGCCCATGAAGTGATGGTTTTGGTCCACTGGGAGTTGACCATTTTCATGCAACAATCATAACAGACAGATGATTGTCCTATCATTCCTATGCAGGGTTTTAGCAATTGGGAAGAAGTGGATTTGGACAACATTTTTTCCCCTCCTGAATATGCCTCTCACACGTGGTTTTGTGGGACTTTCCTGTCCTCTTTCCCATTTAGTGTAATTGATTAATTAGGTATGTCATGTTCTGTCCTTATCTCCTGTTTCCTATGGTTCTACCCCTACCCTTATCAGGGATGAGCCTTTGGGTCATTATTTAGTGTTTCCTCCTTCCCTTGTTATTGGGGTTTATAAG